CACAATGCTGAAGGACTGATGCAAGAATATTTGCTCTTATGATGAAAGAAAACTCATTTCTCTCAATATTGGAAACAAGTGACAAATGAACAGAAAGCTCAGTATGAAGCTCTCAAAGGAGAAACCTTTGGGGAGAGAGTATCTTTCAAGTGAGACAATGTAATACATAAAGGGGAAGGAAATAATGGAACAAGAAGGATTAAATGGGTCAGGGATGAGAGGGCAAGGTAGAGAAAGGAATGTGAAAAGGAATGATGAACATTAAAGGCCTTTAAAAAACCATTTATCTTACATGTCTGTGTATGTGCATGAACCCTCGGGGATCAAAGAAGGTAGTCAGACTCCCCAGGAACTGCAATTAGAAGCATTGGTCCTAATCCATGTGGCTGCTGGGAGCTAAACCCCATTTTCTAGCAAGAGCATTTAGTGCTCTTAATTGCTGAGCCATCTTTCCAGCTCCAAAACCAACTAAGAAAAATAACCCAGCAGGTGGAAGACTTATACAGTGGAAGCTTTATAAGACCAAAGACATTAGAGAGTAGAAAGATCTTCCGTGCTCACAAACTGACAAAAATCACACTGTGAAAACAAAAGCTGCTTACAGACTCTGTGCATTCCCCATCAAAATCCCAGTGAATTCCTTACAGAATTAGAAAAAGCAATCCCCAAACTGATATGGAAGCAAACAAAGGTCCCAAATACCAAAGCAGTACCACCTAAGCAAAATAGTAAAAGGTCCCCAGACCACACTCTTTCATATGTGGTCCCTAGATTTTAAGTTTTCCATCTCTGAGGGAGTACAGCTAATACTAGAAAGTAGACAGTGAGAGAGGCAAAAAAGAAATTTTAAGAGTAGATTGGGGACAAGAAAAAAATACGGCATAAAAGCTGAAGAAAGGGGTCTGAGGGAAACATGGTAGGGGAGGACAAGAATCAAACAAAATGAAGTACATATGAAAATCCCAAAATAAAATCCATTACTAACTCTAAAAAGAAAATAAAAAAGGAAGCCAATATTTAATATACCATGTGTATACAATAAGTTCTATTAGTCAGTCTGCCATATACTGAACTTGGCTGCATGGATGAATTACTGGTGATTCTTTCCAGTCTAGTTGGTACTGTTATGCCAAAGCAATTTTTTCTTTGGATTCTACAAAATTTAGAAGAAAATAGTTAAATAAAAATTGTGGTCTTTTTGACAGATACAATTAGAAACTTGTTTCTCTGGCGGCTGTTGTTTTATGTAATTTCTAGGTGTAAAATAACAGCACAATAGCAAGATGAAATAGAACAGTTATCTTCATGAAAGTGACTATCAGTTCATCTACACACTGAGGAACACCACTGTACATGGAGTTAACTCAAGGTGACAGAACGGTTACATGTTGTGACAGATTGAAGACCATTAACATTGTTGTCCTCCCAGATACCTTGGATACCTCATGGTTGCCTGTCTAACCTTAGTATTTATGACACAAATAACCCATTTTCAAGATGAGGAAGAAAGCAGAAAGCTCAATGAATACGGTGTGGTAGTTAACCCACTTCTAGACATAGCTCAATTATTGATTAGTTGTCATGCTTCAGACAGGTTTCTTAATCTCTTTGGGCATCAGTTTTCACATCTGTAATAAGAGCTCATGACTCCAGCTCGACAAGGGTACCATGAAAATGACATGAGACCACACCAGAGATCAACAAGGAGGGGTAGTGAGTGATGCTCTCCATTAATGACTGGTGCTTCCATCTTATTTACAATTTGCTCCTTGAGTATGTATATTCCTGTAGGTGATACATATGCCTGAGCATGTGCGTGCACATGTGTTAGAAGCTGACACCTGGTGTCTTCTCTGTTTTGAGACAAGATCTCTCACTGAACCTCCCCTCCCCAGCACTGGGCTTACAGATGTGCACTGCTGCAGCTGACTTTTTACAAGGGTGCTGAAGTTAAACTAGGGTCCTTCCTATGCTTGCTTGCAAGGCAAACTTTATAAGCAAATTAGTGGATTGGGTATGGTAGTGCACGCCTTTAACCCCAGCACTTGGGAGGCAGAAGCAGAAGGATCTTTGTAATTTAGGCCAGCCTGTTCTATATAAATTGCAGGTTAGCTAGCGATTCATACTAGAGGGACTTTGTATTGGGGAGGGGGGATTAAACAAATTAGTAAAACACATGACACCCCTTTTCAAAGACAGTTCCTTGAAATGGAGATCTATCCCCCATTCAAATGGAGGAGGGAGAGTTAACTTAATATATAAGAATAAAAACAAGCCACTGCAACTAAGTTCATTCAGATGCTTTCCCAACTGTATTTTCACTCAAGAAAACTTTAACAGCAGCCCAAACAACTTTATGGAACAAATTCCAGAAAGGTTTGCTTGATGTTAGCCTCTTAAACCCAGCAGGTATTCAGCACACAACTACTACACAGATGATTTCCACTAACATCAAAATGAAGAACACAGCTATAGCAATTGCCTAGCCTGTTAAGGCCCTGGATTAGATCCCCAACAGGGACAATGATCAAAAGACACACATGCCATTTCCTCTGTGGAGATAACTCCTGAATTTTCCTAGCATGGCCTGGGTGAATGTGTGTGTGTGTGTGTGTGTGTGTGTGTGTGTGTGTGTGTGTGCGCGCGTGTGCGTGCGTGCTGGCTGCAGCTCTCCTGATTTTACCTCAGCATCTAACTGTAAGGGTCGCCCTGAGTCTCCCCACACTGTGGAGAAGGAACAACAGGACAGGGACTGTTGAGGATGGAGGAGCGAGAGCTGAGGAACTCAGGTTCTGTTTTGTATTTGGTTTTTATTAAAAAAAAAAAAAAAACCTGTTGTAGGAAGAAGCCTATGTTGAAAAGCGAACCACTCACTGATCTGCTTCAACCCTTGATTTCAGATATGGGCAAGCTGTAGCCATAACACAAAGGAATCTGCAAAGCTCTGTGTCCCTGCTGACTCCATCCAAGATCACTCAAGACATTAATAGCCAGCACCCAACAAGGTAACTTTGGATTTGCAGTGAAAATTTCATTTCACCTTCTGGAGTACAACAATGCACTCAAGGCTTCAAAGCTTCGGATCTTAGCCTATGAAGGCAACAGATGACGTTCCCTACAATGTGGAACAACCAACATGAGTTTTTTTGTTGGTATGCCTATGGACCCTAAGCTGTGCGCTGGGGGAGGAGGGGGGATAATTTATTTTTTGACAATTTCATACATGTCTACCATGTATCTCAACCAATTACATTGATAGTTTTAAGCAGTTGGTATTTATTTCTTGTGCCTGAAGGGGTCAAACCCATGAGACAATAAGTGCTCAGCATTACTTAGGAAAGGCAACAAGAAATCCCTTCCATGAAATGCATCCAGAACACAACTATGGAACCAAACAAACGTAGTCCGACTTTCATTTGGGCTGCCAGCTCACAAATAACAGGTAGACTTATTATGAAAGTTTGGCCTTTAGTTTAGGTCTGTCTCACCAGCTCTTATAATGTAAATTAACCCATTTATATTAATCTATGTCCGGCCACATGGTGTTACCTCTCTTTCCAGCTTACACCTGGTGTTTTCTCTCCTACTGGCTGGCAACTCTGCCTTCTACCAGTGTTCTCTCAATCTCCAGAAGTTCTGCCTAACCTCTTTCCAACTATTGGCCATTTGGCTCTTTACTAAACCAATCACAGCAATGTATCTTCACACAGTATACAAATATCCCACAATAAACAAAAGTCTAAGGTAAGTCAGTGAAAGTTTAGCCAATGGTAATTACTTAAAATAAACACTGTACCTTAATATTCTTAACTTCTTTTAGGTTATTCTATTCTGAACGAACTACTTTGGTCTTACAATGGTGGTATTTTACTTGTCCCTCACCTACTCACTGTCTAATATTTGTGGTTTGTATTTCTGCCTTACTGTTATTCTCTATTTGAGGCAAGATACTGCTTACCATTTATACCACACTAATGTGTAGAGACACCAAATAAATGATCACATCACTGGGTACAGCAAAAGCAGGAAGATGATGAGACAAGGTAAGGTCAATTCTGTCCTCAGGGAATGGCACACTTACCTAACTTCCAAATTTTTGTTTTCTAGGTCATTTCCTAAGATGACCATTATATTTATATTATGCACTCATCTGAATGAGAGACAAGTCTGGTTCAATCATCAATCATTACTGAGGGAACTCTTGTTTTACGAGACCTCCCATGGCCAAGAGACCTCCTATTCTCTTCAGCTCCACTGAGGCAATGAGGACTCAAATATCCACTGTGAATCACTTGGGAGCAACTGCTGCAGGCTGCTTATGCAATGGGAGGAGGAGGAGGAGGGCCTTCCTCAGTAACTTACATCCCTTACACTCAAGTCAGTTAGAGTGGCACATCCGTGACACAGGCGTACAGTCACCACTTCATGGCGACTACAGAACTAGAACACACTTGTCTAAACACACGTCTACTGCTGGGCCTGAGGACATATGCTAGCACATATGTAACCACAGCAGTTTGGAGTCTGAGTCAAGAAAATTACAAGTTTTAGGCCAGCTCAGACTATACATTGAGAAGATCATTAAAAGAAAAAAAGAATAGTAAAAAGATGTTTAATTCTATTTTAAATGAATATGCTTTCTATAAATTACAAGTACAAAGAGGAACATGGTAGCTGGTTAGGTGGACCCTAGTATCATATATGTCTGCTCAGCTTCTTGGCTAACAGCTATCAAGACCTGTAGAGGTCTTAACATGTGCGTATCCGTGTGTATGTCGCCCCCTCTCCGTCCACCCATGCAGCTGGCTCGCATTAAGATAGAGGACAGCCATGACTCAAAGGCTTTTAACAGCTGAAGTGCATAGCTGACACACTTCATCCAAACCAAAGACAGGAAGTGGACAGGGGTGATCACACACAATTACAAGACTTTAAGAGGAGGTGAGCTAAGAGGTAGTCCTGGTGCTAGTGATCCAAACACAGATGTGAGCGTGGCTTACTTGTGAGATGTCCTCTTCTTCATCATGTTTACAGATACTCCAGCATGACCTGCAAGAGAGGCAAATGACAGTCAGCAAAAAGTGGATTAAAAACAAAAGCCTACTGCATAAATCCTAGAACAGGTCATTAACCCCCAACATATTAGAGCCACATGTTTATTTGACTTCTGAAAAGGAGATACTGAGTAGACACAATGACAGTCCCAATGGTTCTTTGCTTCCAGATCAGACATAAAAATAAAGCCAGTTACACATACAAAATTAATAAGTGACAAGCCTGACCACAGGGAGAGCTACTTAGAAGAGAACTCCAAACCTCAGTGAGCTGGGGGGTTAGCAAGGGTCCACACTCTGGCTAAACAGGAATCTGGATGTAAGCAAATCCTGAGAAATCACAAATCGATAAAGCTATTCAAATTCCATCTAGGCACTTCTTGGACTAATGAGGCAATCAGAAACAAAACAAAATAAAAAGACTGAAGAAATTCACAGCAGCCTACACAAACAGAATATCAAAAATCCATCCTCAACACTTGCTTGATAAACTTAATGCTTTTTAAAATGTAAAATAGCCAACTACTTCTCTTAAAAGTTATAAAACAAAAAAGGTCTAAGTATCTAACTCAAGACTGTCAGTTTGCTCTCCAACACACAGATACACACACAGTAACCCAGCTTGGTGCCACAAGCCAGCAAGGAGGTTATGACCAAAACAACATCTTTAGTTGTTTTTGTTTTACATTTTAAGGATATTAAAAGGTAAACACATCCAACTGATCCCTAGACTCAGGAAGTATCAAGAAAACAAGTGAAACCAGGATACAGTAAGTCACCCCCACTGAAGACCCACTGGGGTGACTAGCAGGCTATGTAGATCAGTAAGGTCAGTCCACAGTGACGCAAACCCCCCAAACTTACAAAAAGAAATAACTGAGAAATGAAACCAGCCCTAGAGATCCAGATACCTAGCACATGGGAAACTAGACCGCAATAAAGAGGAGCACGGGAAGCAATGGCAGATGGGGCTGTGATGAAGCACATGCGTGCAGGCTGATAGACAAGCACAAAGGCAGCTGTGCACAGTACCCCTAAACTAACTTCTGAAAACCACTGGTGATATTTTCACAAGTGCAAAACAAACAAAAAACACTTCTAAACAAACACATAGGTACAGGGAAATTAAAATTTGCTGTAAAAAAAAAAAAACCAACTTAAACCAGACAACAGTGATTCAATCTTCAACCCACCTATTGAGAGCCAAAGTATCTTTCTGTCCAGCAGCACCAAACAAGGACTGAGATAGATTTAAACTTCAGGACAAATAATGTCACCATGGATCACAAAAGACACTTCAAAAGTGGTATGGTTAATTAGTCAAAAAGCCACAATAACCTTAAATACACACAAGCCTAATTACAGAATACTAAAATCCATGAAAACAGGAAAAAAAAAATCACATCTACATAATGTACACTTAGTTATGTAAACTCTCTTCTCTTGCCAGTTGGTGTTAACAGGTGGGGAGAAAACCAGAAAGAACAAACACCTGAGCACCACAACAGACAGCTTGAAACCCATGTCAAAACGTATTTCCTCTGGATCCCAGAGCAACATTCACCCAGATACACTAGCCATATGCTGAGTCAGATGAGTCTAATAATATACGTAGGTATCCTGAAATCATACAGAATGTATTTGCTTACCAGGTCACAGTAAACTACATAGAAACAAAACAGTCCTGACAGTGGAACGCGTGTTTCGAGCAGAATAAACACACAGACTGAGCTTAGGGGCCACAAAGCGCAGCACTTTCACTCGTCGAATGCCTACGTAAGTGGGGCCAAATATGAAGAAGGTGTCAACACAAGGCAGAAGAATGTTTTCTGGGAGGCTTCTTCACTCTGTGCAAACTCCCTTCTCCCTTCCTTAAGTGGAGCCTCTACAGCTTTTCAACACTAAAGCAGACACTGCAGCTCGCAGAGACAAAGTGGCATGTTGGGACCTGGTGCCAGGAGGGCCACCTGGACTCACTGAGGCAAGAACAAGATAACAAGAAAAGGAAGTGTGTGAGAGCGACAAAGTCAGCCAGAGTCAGCCAGAAGTGGGAGCAAACATCCCTGGCATGTCCCTAGACACCTGTGACAAGGTGCAAAGGAAGGATTCCTCAAGGTATGCTAGAACTATATGTAATGTACCAAACATTCCCACCCCTCTCCCATCCCATAGTATCCCAAGCCTCATAACCCATCCCCACCGCTCATGACCCTACTCGCAGCATGCTGGCTTCTAGAAATGGGTACCTCAAATGCCACACAGCCAGGCCACTGTCTCTGACCCTTGAAGAAAAACTTCACTGAAGCAGGCTTTCTTGGACGGCCAGACCCCAAATGGTAACACGGAGACTTTTTAATCTATGTGCTACCCTGGGGCTCATGTACCTATCTAAGTACTTTCCATCCCGCTTTCTCCATGTCTGTCCCCTTTCCTCTCTGCCCACCAGCCCTGACCTAATCAATCAGGTATCTCAGGCAGGCAAGGAGGAACAGCAACACATCTTTACATAATAAACAAATATAGCATAAACAAAAGCAACACATAGTTGAACAATTATTCTGCAACACAAACAAATGTAGCAAATTTTTACTTATTAAACAAATACTCTATTCCAGAACAGTTCCCTGTACACCATGTATGATGTCAGTGTTGACTTTCTCACTGAGACCCTGCTTTTTCACTGGGTAAGAAAAGGTAACTAAGCATATGCCAAAATAACTGTCTAATCCTAGATATAAAGAAATGGTTGAAGCCACACAGTGAGACTGAGGCGTTGGAGAAGAGCAACATGGCTGCCTGGGATCATCTGAAAAATCAGAGGTGACTGGGAACAGTGCAGTCAAGGGACTGATGACGAGTGAGAGACCATGCAAGGAGTCCCTAAGCTCCTTAAAATTAAATTGCAACCAAGACAATCGGGTCATGCTCATAAAGAGTTTAAGTTGCTCCTCTGTCCTTATCACAAGCAAAACACTAAAAATCTCAACAGTACTTCTTAGACTGAGCAGAGTTACAAGACAGCAACTGTCCATAAATTAGAAAGAAGGAGAGAAACAGAAGATGGCACCTAGGCAGTAAGACCCCATCCCCCATCCGGGAAACCGTGCAGGAGGAACCTCACAACTGATGCTGCTGGAGTTACTAGAGCCCGGTCAGACAGTGGGACTGAGGCTTACTTGCTCTTAAAAAGGGCCTAGACTTTAGTTTACCTCTAAAGGCTGATAATCTGGACAAGCTGCCTTGTGCTCCGCTCCTAAGGCAGGGTGGCTGAGATCACACACGGCATTCATGCCCAAGAGGTTGAGCAAATCATATGACCAGGGAATGAACTAATGGAAAGAATGAGCAACATACAAAACCAGATAGGTAGGAGATGAGATGAAATCATTTTTTAATAAAAGAAGCCAGGCATGGATGCACATCTACAGTCCAGAAGTTGGCAGCAGGGGCAGGAAGACCACATGTCAAATCAAGATCAGCATAGTCTACATGGTAAGTTCAAGGCTACCCATGGTGACATCTGTAAAAGCTGGGCTTCTTTAAACTGAAAACACTCTGCAAGTTGGTCACAGGCCTGAGCAACAAGTTCTGGAACATAACCTCATTTAAACTTTATCATGCACTTCTTTCAATGGTCAAATGCCTAGAAGGTTACTACTCAAGAATTTTATTTATCAGCACAGCAGGTTGGTAAATGCCTTTGATCCTAACCCTAGGGGCCATGGACAGGAGGATCAGGATGTTGGCTGGCTCATTTACTAATTTGTAAAACATTCTGTAAGGTTATTTTGTTGTTGTTGTTTGGGGAAGAGAGGGTTTTAAAAATCAACATATTTAAGCTGGACAGTGGTGGCACATGCCTTGAATTCCAGCACTTGGAAAGCAGAGACAGGCAGACCCCCAAGTTCTCCAGGCCATCCTGATCTACAGAGCAAGTTCCAGAACTGCCATGGATACAGAGAGAAACCATGTCTCGAAAGTCCACCCCCCCCCCAAAAAGAAACCCTACACTTTTATTCTTGTTACTTTCTTTCAGCCATGTGCCAAGCAGCCCCCCCCCCCCCCCCCCCCCCCCCGCAAAACCAGAACAGATTCCTGTTTCAGGGCAAGGGTGCAGGCTTAGTTTTTGGTTTAGTTTTGTTTCTGAGACAAGATTTCATGTAGCCCAGGCTGGTCTGGAAATTGCTATGGAATGGAGAATGGCCTAGAATCCCTGGTCTTCCTGACTCCACTTCAGAGTGCTGGAATTACAGAACTCTTTCAGTTTAGATTCACACCAGTGCACTTGTTCCAAATAAACATTCGAAAAAGTGAGTTAAGATCCCCCTTTCATCCCAAAGCTACTCAATGTCCTAAATCTCACTAAATCCAACATCCTAACATTTCAGTTTCTTCGAGTAAAAATAAAACCTTGATTTTATTCTATTCTTAAACAGAATCTTGAAATTCACTTGTTAATTTTGCCAGTTACCTATAAATTGCTAGGTTATGCAGAAAACCGTATTTAGCATGGTGGTTCCCTTTTTAGGAAATCAAAGCTCTTCCTTCACATGCAGCAAGGTATAAAACACCAGGAATGGAGAAGAACACACTGCCAGGTACTATGTGAAATCGCTGTTCTATGTTCTAAAATGTACACCAGGCCGGGCGGTGGTGGTGCACGCCTTTAATCCCAGCACTCGGGAGGCAGAGGCAGGCGGATCTCTGGGAGTTCGAGGCCAGCCTGGTCTACAAAAGCTAGTTCCCGGACAGGCACCAAAGCTACAGAGAAACCCTGTCTCGAAAAACAAAAAAATAAAAAAATAAAAATAAAAAATAAAATAAAATGTACACCACACTGAAATACATACAGAGCTCCACTACTTACCTGCATCAGCTCTAGACCGCTGGCCAGGTGTCTTCCCGAATGGGGTCTTCATTCATCTGTATTTATGTGAGCAGCAGAGCTGCTGGACTAGGGTGAAAATCCAGTATTTTCAGATATGAAGCTTCCCACAGGTCAGTATTCTTGTTAACCCACCATCCAGGTGTCTCTTTTACAAGTTCAGCAAAAACATGTGGATTCCCAAGCACTCTGTAAAATAAGCATCAAGACAAGAAAACGCCAGTGAGCCTCTAAATATGACAGAAAATTAAAGCACAGTTCTCAGGTAAAGGGCACTAATCCTTGAAGCAATGATGTGGTTCCCAGCAAAGGCAACGAGTGTGAAGGGGAAACCTGGGCCGAGTGCAGACCCAGTGGGGAGAAGAGTCTACACAGAGATGAGAGCTCTTTCCTGTTATAGCCAAAAACACCTTGCTGCTAAGCACCAGGGCAATGAACACCAGGATGTACTAGAGCATAGCCTTTTTCCTGGGGGCAGGGGCAATAGAAATAGTGCAGGTACTCAGAAAGGGCAGATGCAGCTGGGAAAAGGGGGATATAATTTGGCTTCTCCCTTCCTGCTCCCAACCTCTCAGAAAAAGATTCCACAAACCCAAGAGAACTCCCGAAGAAACTTTCCCACCCACACAGATGCTAAATCACTTCACTAAAGTAGTACCATTTATATCAAATTTGGTTCCAGGAACACTACAGTCCAGGTAGTAAAATATTACCATAGACATCACAATCAGACACTTTTTTATGATGTTACTGGCTTAGATCACTGCCCCTGTGGCCAGTCTTTTATTTTAGAAGGCTTCTTGTACTGCTAAATAAACAATTCCAGAGATCTGTGCACCATCACCCCTCTCCCCACTGTTTTACCATCGTTCCCTATTCAGTCTCTAGCGGAGATTACAAGGAGGGTTCATCACAACCCAATGGTCGTCAGCCTTCCCTTGCCCGGCACCCTTTCTGCTGAGCTTACAGATAAAGCACTAAACGTCAAGGTAAAACATGTAAGTTTTTATGTCAAATTCTCTTGTAACCTGAGCAGCATTCAGCACTGCTAGTCAGCTTACCACATGCACTGCAAAGAACTTCCCACCACCCCAAGTGACAGCTGCCCAGAGCCCCTTGTTACTATAACACAGATGCAATGTCATGAGCCCTCCAAGCTCAGTCCTGTCATTGGGTCAACCAATTCCAACGTACCTCTGCATGAATTTTACCACTAGAGTATTGGTGGCATACAATAAACAAGATATAGTGGCTCCCAACTCTGAAAGCTAACCCCTGGGGCTGGAGAGATGGCTAGGCCCCTAAGAGATCTCGCTTGTGCCACATTTAGTTTCCAGCAACCACACAGAACCCACATTTCCAAGGGATCTGACACTTCTTCTGACCGTGGGCCTCAAGTGCACAGGACAGGAAGGCAAAACACTCACACAAAGCAATTTTTTTTTGCTTATTTGAGACAGTCTTATCTTAAGACAGCCCTGGCTAGATTCAAACTCAGAGACCCAGATGCCTCTGCCTCCCAAGGGCTGGGATTAAAGGCGGGTGCTACCACATCTGGCTAAAACTAAATCTTAAAATTAAAATAATAATTAAAAAAAGCTACCCAGACCCCACCCATCTTCTCTGTTTTTATTTACAAAACTTCAAAAACTATGAAAAAATGTAACATATACATATTAACACGCTCATTCCTGATATGAAATTTAAGGTTACTAATGTTCTGAAGTGTATGTGTGTCCTCACTAGGAGGTTATGTCTATCTTAGCAACATTTTCTGTTGCTATTTCAAGATGAATTTAACAGATCTTTAAGAGAGACTGAGGAGTTCAAGCATGGAGTCTTCTGCTTTCCCCTGCATGCAGCACAGGTGGGCAGAGGTCTGAGGACAGCCTGGGCGAGAAGCTTCCCCCGCCCTCTTTCAGTCTGTCTCTGTTGTTCTTCACCTACACCTGACCAGTGCTTCCAGGGTTTCTCCTTCCCCTTCTCTCCATAGGACAGCTGGGATTAGACACCCATGCTGTATCTGCCTTACATGGCCAGCACTCTTCACCACTGAGTCATTTCCCCCAGTTCTACAGGGGACTTTTGGAGCAAAATAATGTGCATAAAGTTCCTAGAAGAAAGTCACACCCACTGCTGACTAGACTGAACTTCATGGATTGTGGAATGAGCTGGAATGCTACAGATCCAATCTTAGCCTATCTTTACAAACCATTGACCATTCGCCTAAGTGTCTGTTCGAACATCCTTATGACTATCAGATAAACCTTTCTTGTAATGTATAGAATGTCTTCATATAGCACCTGAAACCTTTAACAGACTCCTCCACTTTGCTGCAGCCTGCCTACCTGATGTTTCCACTAAAATGTCTTGGTTTATAACTTCATTTTGTTCCTAAACTATAAAAATTCCATGAAACCGCCTTTCCGGCGGTGACAACCTCCCTACGAGAACATGCCTCTCGCAAAGGATCTCCTTCATCCCTCTCCAGAGGAGGAAAAGAGGAAACACAAGAAAAAGCGCCTGGTGCAGAGCCCCAATTCCTACTTTATGGATGTGAAGTGCCCAGGAGGCTATAAAATCACCACGGTCTTTAGCCGTGCGCAGACGGTAGTCCTGTGTGTCGGCTGCTCCCCTGTCCTCTGTCAGCCTACATGCGGGAAAGCAAGACTGACAGAAGGATGCTCCTTCAGGAGGAAGCAGCACTGAAAAGCACCGGATTCGAGATGAGTGGGAACCATCCCAATAAACACATTTTGGATTAAAAAAAAAAATTCCATGAAACCAATTCCATACTGACTTGGAACAGTGTTTGGAATAGCCTTAATCTCTATACGTAGGCCAGCTGTAGGAATTAACTCATATTCCCTTTGAAGTAAGAGTTGTGTTTAATGTTAATAACAAGGCAGCACGTCTACATTCTTGAGTTACAAACAGTGAATACAGTCTAATCTCATTTGAACTTGTTTAAAACAATCCAAAAACGCAGCTGGCTCCCCAAGATACTGAGTATAGCTGCTGGGCCCTGTTCTTATCTGAAGAGAGCCACCGGGGGCTTTGAAAAGCCAGTTAAAGAAGGGCATTCTGAAAAAGAACTGTTCTTTTGGCTGGAACTCATTTAATTCATTCACATTTTCTAAAGATACAGATCATCTTTAAGTTATTGTATTATGTGGTTAGTTTAGTAAATAAAAACTGAAGGAAGAAGTAAACAAATCTAGTCCTTTCTAGGACAGCAGACACTATATTGGTCCCCTCTCCTACCCCAGTGCTGTAAGAAACAGTCAACTAGTGGAACTTACTTATAAGCCACTGAAAAAGATGAGGAGGCTGGAGAGATGGCTCAGTGGTTAAAAGAACTGTTTGCTCTTCCTGGGTTAAATTCACAGTACCCATATCAAATACAGCTCACAGCCATCTGTAACTCCAGTTCCTGGTAACCTGACTTCCTCTTCTAGCATCTTCTAGCATGTGGTACAAAGACAAGCAAAACACCCATAAATATATTTAAACACACACACAGAGACACAAAAGAGGAATGGGGAACAATCCTGACACAAACAAGGGAAAGGTTACCTGCTAACTCTCCCAACACACACACAAACACACACAGTGGGGTAGGGGTGAGGGGGGGCAGAGAGAGGTTTTACAGTGGAAACAGGGTCTTCATTTCTGGGAAATAAAACAAATGATTATCCTTTAGTAATGATCCCAAAGTCCACTGTAAGATGATGAAGCGATTCACAAACCCTGTACTGACTGGTCACAATATGGCAAACACTACTGCATGAGCTTTCCGTGGACTCTGTCTTGCCTTTCATACAACATGCTGCACAGACCACACACCACTATGGCATTGTTCTGCAAACGGAGAGGCCGCTGGAGTACAATAACCTTGTCAAGGTCACACACTACTGCAGCACTGCTGAAATAAATGCTCTGCTGTAAAGAAATAAATAAGCAAGCACATAATCAGGCATGGTAGAACCTACCTGTGACCCCAGCACTGCAGGTGCTAAGGCAGGACACAGTGCCCTCAAGAGTCCGGACTGCAGAGTGATAACGTGGGTTCAGTGGGCACACCACACACCAAATGACATGTATTCTACCTTGAAGTTAAGAAATGAGTATTTTGCCAGGCGGTGGTGGCGCACACCTTTAATCTCAATCCCAGCACTCGGGAGGCAGAGGCAGGCAGATCTCTGTGAGTTCGAGGCCAGCCTAGTCTACAAGAGCTAGTTCTAGGACAGGCAGCAAAAACTAGAGAAACCCTGTCTTGAAAATTAAAAAAAAGAAATGAGTATTTCAAGACACCAAGCATGATGGCTTGTGCACCTATAATATGAGCACAAGAGGCCGAGGCAGGAAGATTTCAAGTAGTAGGCCAATTTGGGTCCAAATTAACAAGCAGTGACAGTCATGTGTGAAGAAGGGGCATAAAAAGGCTTCTGCCAACTGCTATCAAAAAGCTATTTTATTTATAAAAAGAAATCTGGTAATTGCTGACGCACAATCTTAACTCCAGGTCCCCTGGTGAAGAAGCATATAGAAGTACTAACAGGTCCCCTGGTGAAGAAGCATATATAAGTACTAACAGGCAGAAACATATGTCGACTCAAGTCTGAGCTGTTAACGAGCTGTGTTAAAACACGGCGTGGTGAAAGCCCTTTCACTTCATGAGATAACTGAAGCACTAACAGGTCCCCTGGTGAAGAAGCATATAGAAGTACTAACAGGTCTCCTGGTGAAGAAGCATATAGAAGTACTAACAGGTCTCCTGGTGAAGAAGCATATAGAAGTACTAACCAGGTCCCCTGGTGAAGAAGCATATAGAAGTACTAACAGGTCTCCTGGTGAAGAAGCATATAGAAGCACTAACAGGTCCCCTGGTGAAGAAACATATAGAAGTACTAAGAGGTCCCCTTGGGTGGCCTTGGGATGGGAGCTGGTTCCCAGAATGGCAACTACCAAGATGAGAGGTTAAAAACTTCCAACTTCTAACGTAAACCTCCAGAGAGGGGAAAAGGCTAAAGACTAAGTCAGTTACCAATGCCCAACAATGTACCAATCTTGCCCAGGGAATGAGGGTTCACTAAAATCCAATACTCAGTTCAGTTTCCATGTAGGTGAGAACATACAGGTATCTGAAGTAGGTATCCCAGGGCATTTGTAATAAACCAGAAACCTAG